GTGTCTCCCATGTAGATATGTCCCCCCTGAAGCAACTGCGCATGTCCCGGTTTCAGGCGCGATCAATCGATGATAACAGTAGTTCTATCATTGATTGATCGTGCCTGAAACCGGGACATGCGCAGTTGCTTCAGGGGGGACATCTACATGGGAGTCACATCTTGCCGCTACACCGGTGTCACCCCCATATAGGTTGCATGCCGACGTCCCCGTTAGGATCGCGGCATGCAACCTATACGGGGTGACACCGGACCCAATCCAAGAAAAGGTAAATTGTAAAGAAAGCCGACGATCCCCATAGGATGGATCAAATCCATCGTGCGGGGATTGTCGGCTTGCTTTACAACTTACCTTTTTGTGGAGCGGGTCCGGTGTCACCCCGTGCGGGACCGCACGGACCCCCCCCACCTGCCTCGGGACACCACTGCCTTAATTATAACCTTTATTGCCAGTGGTGGCCAGTGACATATAATATACCACCTGCCTCAATGGTCACCCTGATATCTACTGTAACCCTGCATTGCTGGTGGCTGTTTGGTGCCCCTTAATATGAGTCCCTTTTAACTTTTAGAGTTTTCAGAGCCGCCTCTTTTAAAGGCCTCCTTCACATTGGGCCTTGGTGAAAAATTCCCCAATGTTTTTTTCTATTGCAGGGGCTGTTAGTGGACAATGCCCTTAAAGAATAACTTTGAAAGAGCTTGTCTGGTATTAGCTCCCCCCAGCCCCTTGAGTGCAGCCCCCATGTTTAATACTGTCTTGCAGAATACGGCTCACACATAGGAATAATGGAGGAGTATGAAGTCACTTTGGTGTCCGTTTATGACACAGAGAATAGCTGTTCAGTTAACTTTATTTTTATGTACTTGGAAAAAAATAATGTACAAATGTAGGTGGAGGTAAACTAATCTCTTTTTTTTTTCTCTTTAGATGAGACCGTCCTCCTCCTCTGACTCCAGAAAGCTTTGATTATTATAAAATGCTCGGACAGGGATGTATGGAAAGGTAAGTGATCAGATTTACAGTTTCTTTACATTTAATTTATAGCCATATAACAGATAGGGACCCTATATAGAAGGGGGGAGTGATAGTGCACTGTCAGTTCACACCATAGAAACGCAGTCCAGATGCGTTCCAGATGCGTTTCTGCATGTGCATTGTTGGTGCGTTCCGGTGCCTTTTTACTGCGCTTTTGACGCTTTCCTGTGCGTTTTGGATGCGTTCTGGTTCATTTTTTCCCTCTCCTCTTCTTCAATTTAAATAGGGACATTTGTGTTCCAGTGCGTTTAGGTGCATCCGGTGCATTTTTGGTACATTTTGTATGTGTTTTACTACTTTCCAGTACAGTTCAGTGCAGACAAAATGCAGCATGCTCTACTTTTATTTCTGGAACTGGAACGCACTGGAACTGCATGTGGTGTGAACTGGCCCTAAAGCTGGATTCACACCGGCGTGGGGCTTTGATGCCCGTTATAGTTGTGCCATAATGTGCATCATGTTCAGGCAGCCCATTCCTTTACATGGGCAGCCTAATGCTCCACGGTTACTCATAACAGGTGTATTAGTAGGGTGTGTTGGGTGCCATTGAAGTAGAATTCCAGCTTAAATCTAACTAGTCTTACAAATGTGTATAATTACCTATTTTCAGCCTGCTCCTGTTATCTGATCCTCTGTGTCAGCCAGCGGCAGCTGCAAGGGAGAGGAGGGAGCGCTCGACAATGGCTGGCAATGCCTGGGAGCAGTGATGCCTCCCATAGGCTTCCATCTTCCAGCCGCTGTCAGCGCTCCCTCCTCTCCCCTGCAGCCCCCACTGGATGACATAGGGGAGCCATATCATGACCAGAGCAGAGTGGACTGAAATGGTTTAGTATACACAAGTTAGTCAGCATATGTAGGATGCTACAGTGCTGCTACAACTTCCCATAAAATCAGGGAACATTTTTAAGGCCAGTGAGGTTTATGATGGAATTCTACTTTAAGAATGATCTGCAGCTCACAAACGCACATAACATGTTTTTGCACTTTGAAGTTGCCTCAGTGTGTGAATGAGTTCAAATTAATAGCTTTATTAAGATGAAGTATCTTTATTAAGACTTATTTACATTCTATTTGCATTTGGGCACTGTGGTGTCATTCATTCCAATGGCTCTTCAGCACACTGCAACTCGTAAAAAATAATGCATGCACCACTTTGGTGTCTATGGTGCATTATGCAGCCCATTAAAAAAATGCATGCATGATAATAGACTAAAACAGTGTGAATCCAGCCAAAAGCCCTGATGCCATGTTTTAATGTAACACGGGATAGGGATGGATGGGTGGAAAGGGGTTTCAATCTCCCTGGTGGATATTTCCAATTGAATTTACATTGCAGAGAATGGGTAAGCTTTCAGAAAAGAGGGCGAAGATGGGAACTTCAAGGGATATATTTCACCACTGGAGACCATGTGAGATGTAAAGAGCCATCGGGTGATTGGCATATTTACATCTAACCCAAAAACAAACATCAAGGGTGGGTGAGCCAACCTTTAGTTGATAATACTAATATCCTATTGTTCTTTCTCCTTTCAGGTCTTCCTTACATCACATCCTGTCACCGATCAGATGCTGGCAATGAAAATTACCAGAAAACCTACCCGGATCAAAAAAATGTTTTATAGAGCGTCACGCCATGGTAGCGACGGACGGTTGCAGGTTCTTCCCGCAATTATTTGCAACTTTCCAGACAATGGTAAGCATCTTTATATTTCAGTTATTGGGAGGGTTCTGTAGCCTTGAAGAGCTTTTCATGGTCATCCAAGCAGGTTCTTCGGTTCTTGCTGCTTGTAAAAGGTCCATAACCTCTTCATCATCACAGAACAAGCCCAGTAAATGTGACTATTTCTAGCTAAATAATAACCAGAATAAATGGACTCTTCACAGACACGCTGCTAAATTTTTCACTGGAAGCCTCCAAGTGAGAGAAGATAAAGGTGAAGGGTTGAATATGGACTCCCAAAGTGAATAATGAATGTATTTTAATGTTTTTCTATTTTATCTTCTTTTAGGATTTCCTTTTCTACGTCATGGAGTATGTGGACGGCGTGACCCTGAACAAATTCATAGAGAGCAAATGCCTCTGAGTATTGACACCATAAGGTAAGTACTTGGCCATGAGGCTCATTGGGAGTGGGGTGGGAAATAAAATGTACAATTGTAGATAGATCACTTTTAAGCTATGGGGGCCTTCGTATTTAGGTGGCGATGGGAGGAGCTTGCTTTATCTAACCACCCCCAGGCAGGGGCGGACTGACAACTCATGGGGCCCCCGGGCAATAGGGAATCATGGGGCACCTGTGTCCTTGCCCAAACTCAAAAAAGCCTATGAAAAAGGTACCAGGGACATCTCATGGGGCCCCCTACTGACCCTGGGCCCTCGGGCAGTGCCCGAGTTTCCAAATGGTCCGTCCGCCCCTGCCCCCAGGTACACTAGTTAGAAGCCTTGCTCCTATATTTGTATTGATTCTGCATTTTAATTAGAAAATGCAGAGGGAATGGGGAAGGAGGATAGCTGAGATGCCAAACATTGCCTATATCTCTTAAAGGGGGAAGCAATGGTAACTATTGGGCCAGAATTCATACCCTGAATGGCGTCTGCCAAAAGCCATGGGAGGGACTCATCAGACCTGAGATTGTAGCGCAATCTTTTCAAAAATATACTCTAGAATCCATGGGTAGCTTTAGACTGACATTACCTATTATGGGATAGGATCTAGGAAGATCTAATAAGAGATTGGTATAATGAAGACATTCCTAGTTGTGCTCTTAGCTGATAGCCCTAAAGTGGACAGCAGTCATTTCTTTGGTACTCCGAAATCCATAATGAAAATACAGCAGGGCTTGTTTATAGCTAAATAAAAAGGCAATATGCATATAAACAATTAAATTCCTCTATGGCAAAATTTTTAAAAAATGATTTGGAAATTTGTAACACGTCTTTAAAGAAATACCAATTTCTAGTAGCATTAGGATCGGGTAATATTAATAGGGGACCTAGGTTACTATAGGACAGGTTTTTCAATTAAAATGTTTGGTTTTTTTTCTATCAGATTCATTGCTGCGGAGCTGCTGTGTGCCATACAAATTCTTCATTCCAGAGACATCGCGCATTGGTAAGTAACCGTTTCATCATATTTTACTGTACTGGCTCATTGGTCTCCAATCTGCAGCCCTTGGCCCATTGAGCCCAGATACAGCCCTTTGATTGCCTTTATTCAGCCCTTGGGGCGCTATTCCTCCCACTGACACCAACAGTGGGGCACTTCCTCCCACTGATACCAATGATGAGACATTATTCCTCCCACTGACATCAACGATGGGTCACTATTCTTCCCACTGACACCAACGATGGGTCACTATCCCTCTCATTGAGACCTGTGATAGGGCATTATTCCTTCCACTGACACCAGCAAGGGGCCCTATCCCTCCCACTAGTACCAATCCCAAGGCATTATTCCTTCCACTAATACTGATGACGGGGTACTATTCCCCCCACTGATACCAATGATGGGGCACTATTCCTCCCACTGATACCAATGATGGGGCACTATTCCTCCCACTGATACCAATGATGGGGCACTATTCCTCCCACTGACACTAATGATGGGGCATTATTCCTCCCACTAATACCAATGATGGGGCACTATTCCTCCCACTGACACTAATGATGGGGCACTATTCCTCCCACTAATACCAATGATGGGGCACTATTCCTCCCACTAATACCAATGATGGGGCACTACTCCTCCCACTGACACTAATGATGGGGCACTATTCCCTCCCCACTGACACCAATGATGGGACACTATTCCTCCCACTGACACTAATGATGGGGCACTATTCCTCCCACTGATACCAATGATGGGGCACTATTCCTCCCACTGATACCAATGATGGGGCACTATTCCTCCCACTGATACCAATGATGGGGCACTATTCCTCCCACTATTACCAATGATGGGGCACTATTCCTCCCACTGATACCAATGATGGGGCACTATTCCTCCCACTGATACCAATGATGGGGCACTATTCCTCCCACTGATACCAATGATGGGGCACTATTCCTCCCACTGACACCAATGATGTGGCACTACTCCTCCCACTGATACCAATGATGGAGCACTATTCCTCCCACTGACACCAATGATGGGCACTACTCCCTCCCACTGATACCAATGATGGGGCACTATTCCTCCCACTGATACCAATGATGGGACACTATTCCTCCCACTGACACCAATGATGGAGCACTATTCCTCCCACTGACACCAATGATGGGGCACTATTCCTCCACCTGATACTAATGATGGGGCACTATTCCCCCCACTGATACCAATGATGGTGCACTATTCCTCCCACTGATACCAATGACGGGGCACTATTCCTCCCACTGACACTAATGATGGGACACTAGTCTGGCCCCTTGTTTAGAAGATTTGAAGACCCCTGTTGTAGTTGATAACCGCCACCTAATCTTTTTCTTCTTCTTTATAGTGATTTACATGCAAACAACATCCTCGTGGACAGCACCGGACATGTCAAGATCATCGATTTTGGTCTGGCAAAGAAGATAGACATTCCACCTGGCAGAAGTGAACGTCACCAAATGGTAAGATAATCAATATCCATTTATTGTTTGTTATGTAGTGTTCTTTTGGCACCAAAAAGGTTTTTAACCACCTTCCCTCTAGAGCATTTTTTTTTTAATTTTTCACATTTTTACAGATTGGAAATGATTTAAAGGCTAAATTCACCTTTTCACAAAAAATAATAAAAGCTAATTTTTTTGCATGTAAAAAAAAAGCGCATTTACTATTTTTTTTGTGTTAGGAGCCTGTAAAGCATTGCACCAGCAATCACCAAATTGCTGATGCCATGCAGGTCTCCTGCAGACCTGTCAGTGTATCTGCTTGCTCGTAGCTCCTACGATTTCAAAGGCGGATCCAGTCTGAACCCTGGCTACATGTAAATGAGACACCTATAATTATTGCTTTAGGGTGAGCACGCGGCCAGGCCCAATTTGGGTTGTGCAATTGACATTTACTTACATGTGCACACCCTACACATCTGTGTGTGTGTTTTAAACTTTTTCACATCTTTTACACTTTTTTATTATAATTGTTTTTGTATTTAACATTATTGCTTGTACAAGGGGGCTAATAAGCCCCTTGCGAGATATCATTGGACAGGTAACAGGTACTCCTAACGGGGTCCTCAGGGTTCTCCCAGGAGGTGCGGTAGAGCAAGGGAACCACTGAGGGAGAGCATTGGCGGGGGGGATCACCCCTGAGTCAGGAAAAGTGATCGGGCAGGTAGGTCTACAGCCACCCAGATCACTTCTATAGTAAAGCCTGGAGCCGGTTTCTAAAAACCAGAAACAGCGATGAGCTTGTTTAACTTCTTCAGGCTTTGGACGTACCAGAGAGATCCAAAAGGGCTGAATAGATGAATGCAATAAAAGGTGCTGAAATTTGCCTCGACCCACAAAATGGGCTTGGACCTCTGATTGGTGTTGCAGAATGATGCTGTTGTGATGTATACACAGAGCTGCTTTTTATTTTAGAGAATAGGTGCAGGTATCCCCCCCTCCTAAGACACCCCTTGTCTCCACCCCCATACCCACCTCCAAGCACCATTCCTTGGTTACACCCCCATACCCACCTCCAAGCACCATTCCTTGTCTCCACCCCCATACCAACCTCCAAGCACCATTCCTTGGTTACACCCCCATACCCACCTCTGAGCTTCATTCCATATCTCCGCCTTGATACCCACCTTCAAACTCCATTCCTTGGTTCTGCTCCTACTTGCCTCCCAGTACTGCCCCCTTTAGGGAATACAGAACCAAGTATCATTGTGTGGTACTAAGAAATTGTAAGGATTTTGTTAATAATAACAAGAAAAGCAATAAAACAGACCCCCCCCCCCAACAATAGATCCACCAGCAAAAACAGATCCACTCCAACAACAATACACCCCCGCCTGCAACAATAGATCTCTCAGCAGCCAGCATCAACAGACCCTCCCAGCAACATAGAACCCCCCCCCCCAGCAACAATAGATTCCCCCCATATCAGAAAATCCCCCCCAGTAACAATAGATTCCCCAGCAGCCAGCATCAATAGTTCCTCCTCCAGCACATCCCACCACCCCTTGTTATTACATATATTCAGTTCTGGAGGTGCCAGAACTGTGTATCCACTGATAAAAACCCTGTGTATACATATTAAAGGGGAACTAAACCCTCCTATTCATTACAGCCAAGGAAGTTGCCATCTTAGCCTCTGTTTGATCTGTTGTTGCCACGGTGCTGCACATGTGATCAGTTATGCCACCAGCCATTTGACGGCTTGACAGTTCACTTGACTCTGAGAGTCATCACTCAGGGCGTGCCTTGAATGTAAGCATTATGGGAAACTGTTACCGTGATGGGTTTAATTCCGCTTTGGTTGCTATAAGAAATGTATTGTATTTTTGTATTTATTTTATTATGAGCTAATACATTTTTTTTTAATTTCTCCAGGCCATCGAGGAAAGGCTTTCAGCCATTTCAGAGGACTACACGTTTTTTCGCAGCGCACTTTCTTACTTGGGAAGATGCCGCGACACACAAGAATGTACTGGAACTACGCCCATATCAAGGACCTCTTTTTAAAGGTAAGGAATTGATTTCCTTTAGCCAGAGACAGAAAAGGTTTACTTTTTCTATTTGCGCTATAAAATTAGATAAAATTAATAAAAAAAATTGATTAAATTTTGTTGATATTAATGATCTATCTTTTTAATATAAATTTTTTTTTAACCCACAGAGTCAACATTCAACTGACGGTTTGCGAGAACACCCGTTCTTCACAGGAATAAACTGGGATGAGCTCGAAGCTGGGAATTTGCGTCCACCACACACCATGGAGGCTGTAAGTATTGGACTGGGAAATGGGGTCACATCTGTAATTTTGCTATGCCTGCTGTTTTGCAGTCTCTTTTCTGCCCCCTACTGGCATATAGTAGGAGGCGCATTCCTTTTTGGGTTGCATGAGTGCTGTTCAAGAGGTTGTACTTTTTATGATGGAAAGACAATCCACAGTGGATCATTTACAAGTCATGCATCTATGAAGCATGAAACCTATCAACTGACAAGTTCCAGCACAGAATTTAGGATCAGTGCAATATATAAAGATCATTTATAAACATGTCTGTATAGTTATAACAATATAATGATGATTCATATTGATGAATATGTCTAATCGTGACTGGTCCATTTAAATTGGATTCTCTTTCATATATTCATGCAGCACATAGCAAATAATAGAAGCTGCCCAATATTAATATTCAATATAGTGATAATAAAGCATGATCTGAAATCATTTTTTTCCTATCTCTAATGTGTTTTTTTCTCTCTCCAGAGACCGAAGGTGGACCTGCAAAACAAGATAGACGTGAAGGATTTGCTGGCAGAAATCAAACAGGATTTTTATCGTATCGCCAGACGTTATCCTCAAGTCATCAATGGATTCGAATACGTCAGTGAACGATGGAGAGATATGTGTGCTGCATCAGAAGCTGATCGGGATTAGACCCGGTTCAGTAAAAATTCTGCAGTTAGCTGTCCCCCTGCCAACTAGCAACCCAGGTTGCTAAAATGCAGGAGGCCCTTACAGCTAACATCCGTTCGCTGACCAGCATACATCCTACAGACAACTGAACTCCAAAAAGAACAAACCATAATAGGAGCGCTTATCCAAACTGACAATGAAAAACCATCAAAGTCCAGAGTAGAAAAAGCTACGCCAATCAGTCAGTTTAATAATACATCTAAAAGCATTGGATTTGGACTAAGAGCCGGGGCGAATCTACCGCGAGGCAAACAAGGCGTTTGCCTAGGGTGGCAATTTTTAGGGGGGCGGCACCGCCCCCTAGAAGAAGGGACTTTTTGAGCAGTGGCAGACAGAGCCATGCAGGGCCGCCATCAGAGGGGTACCTTCGGTACTGTTGCAGTGGCCTGGACAGCAAGAGGATTGATGTGGGGGAGGGCAGTTGCAGAGCGATGCTCTGTACCTCTCCCTCTTGATGCTGATGAGCCAGGACCAGGGAACAGCCTGGAGCTGTTCCAGGCCTAGAGAAGAGAGGAGAGAAGAGAAAGAAGAGAGAAGAGAGAGAGAGGGGACGAGAGATGAGAAAGGAGAAGGAAGAGAGATAAGAGAGAGAGAAGGAAAAGAGGGAAGAGAGAGGGAAGAGAAAGAGGGAGAAGAAGAGAAGAGGGAGAGAGATGAGAGAGAGAAGGAAAAGAGGGAAGAGAGAGGGAAGAGAAAGAGGGAGAAGAGAGAAGAGAGAGATGAGAGAGAGAAGGAAAAGAGGGAAGAGAGAGAGGGAAGAGAAAGAGGGAAAAGAGGGAAGAGAGAGAGGGAAGAGAAAGAGGGAGAAGAGAGAGATGGAAGAAGAGAGAAGAGAGAAAAGGAAGAGAGAAGAGAGAGAGGGAATAGAGAAGAGAGCGAGGAAAGAGAGAAGAAAGAGAGAGCGGAGAGAGAAGAGAGAGGAGATAAGAGAGAGGAGAGAGAGAGAAGAGAGAGAGAAGAGAGAGGAGTGAAGAGAGAGGAGAGAAGAGACAGAAAGAGGATAGAAGAGAGATGAGAGAAAGGACAGTAGAGATAGAAGAGAGAGAGCAGAGAAGAGAGAGAGGAGAGAAGAGATAGAAGAGAGAGGGGGGAGCGAAGAGAGAGGAGAGAAGAGATAGAAGAGAGAGGAGGGGGGAGAACAGAGAGGAGAGATGGAAGAGAGAGAGGATAGAAGAGAGATGAGAGAGAGGAGAGAAGAGAGAGAGCAGAGAAGAGAGAGAGGAGAGGAGAGAGAGAGAGAGTGGAGAAGAGAGAGAGAGAAAAGAGAGAGAAAGGAGAGAAGAGAGAGAAGAAAGAGAGGAGAGGAGAGAAAGAAGAGAGAGAGGGAGGAGAGAAGAGAGAGAGAAGTAAAATAGAGAAGGCAGAGAGACGGGAGAGAGAGAGAAGAGAGAGGGAGGAGAGAGAGGAAATAGAGAAGAGAGCGAGGAAAGAGAGGGGCAAGACAGCAAAGAGAGAGAGAAGAGAGAGGAGATAAGAGAGGGGAAAGAAGAGAGGGGAGAGAAGAGAGAGGAGTGAAGAGAGAGAGAGAGGATAGAAGAGAGAGAGAGGATAGAAGAGAGAGGAGAGCAGAGAAGAGATAGACGAGAGAGAGAGAGGAGAGAAGAGATAGAAGAGAGAGAGAGAGGATAGAAGAGAGA